CATTTAAAATATATAGATAAAATATAACTGATCAGAAGTAGCTTAATTTTTTGCTATGTGATGTAAATGAAGTTTCATAGCACTAGAGCTTGTGAAACATTTGCTCCATCAAATCATTCTGATGAACCTTCTACCTTTTAGAATAAATAGAGCATCAAAAATGCATGTGGGTTGAGGGTTTTTTCCTTGTTAATCAGAGCAAGAAGGAAGGGATGCTTAGCCCAGGATTCAGTGTGTGTGCATGTACATATATACACACACACACTCTTAAATCTCAGTCCTGGGGGAATCCTTCATCAGTGACAGTGGAAGACTGGGCAAAATACTCCAGAGATAGTAGTTGATCCTTGTGAGCCAGGTTTTGAGGTTTGCTATGCTTTTCCTTTTTCTTTTTTTCTTCCTGCTCCTCTACCCGTTTTAAACCACATGTGATTTTTACATTCCTGTATGAAGTAACACCTTCACACTTGAACAGTCATAAAAAAATGCAAATAAACTGCTTTCACCTTACAAGTTTCTTACATATTTTAATCATTTACTGTTGTCTGCAGTTTCACTTTACAGGGTACTCTGACTTCCATTTTAAGTAAGCTGATACAGTGGTAACACCTAGGCTGCTCAATTTATAATCCTAAATGGTACAGATGTCTTCAAGTTGTTCAGTGCATACAGTATTACTTCACAGATATGCTGTATGTATTTTTAAACTTGGTGCCAAGTTGTTTGGTTTGAAACTGAGCCACAGGATTTGTACTTGCCAATTCTAAATTTAAATGTAATTTATCATGGGTGTCATGCCAAGGAGAGCAAACCTGCAGGCATCTGCTCATTCAATGCACCTGGGAGATTTGCTGCTGAATAATCTGTACATGTGTGTATATTTTTTGGCACTGGAAAAAGGAATAAATGGACTGTCAAAGGATTGAAGTCAGTATGTGAGATGTCTATATGGTTCTTGTCAGTTTTCTGCTTTGGAAGTCTTGGTCTAGTAGGAGTTTCTTCTTGCTGTTTTCTGGTTCATTTATTTGGTTCTTGTGTTACTACTCCACCAGCCAGAAGGGGGGTAAGGATGTAACTCCTTAATTTTTACATGGCCTTAATAAATATTTGGTTTGGTCATCTGTGTCACCTCACCGTTAAGCTTTTAAGAGGCTTGACATGTGTAGCTGCAGTGCTGTATTCACTGCATGTATCTGCTGGTCACCAGACTCTCCCCAGTTTGTGTCATTCCTTTGTGCTGGCAGTGGGAGCTGTAATTGCAGGAAAGTGTTGCTCAGACCTGGCTCTGAGCTCTGTTGGAGAAGCAGGATACTCAGAAATCTGTGCAAAGACCTTCAGAGTTATGCAGTCACCTATCATTAATTTTCTTCTGAAAGTTCAAGTCAAAATAAATAAGTTGTCCTTTATCTGCCATCCTTCTCCAGTGCTTTCACCAACCATGGGCTGCTTTGGTGTTGCACAAGTTTTGTCTTTTCCTATGGCAGTGAAGCTGCAGATGAGAGTTGAACCATGGCAAGCCTGTTTTCAGTATCAGCACCACTGACTTCCCTCAGCTGATGCCAGCCAGCATCTCACTCACCAAAAGGCACAGCCCTTCTGAAAGAGAATAAGTGCATGTTTTTACAGCCATAAACCTGTTCAGCAAAACATGTTTTCTGAATTTTTTGCTATCTGCAGTGTGCTGGGTAGAACTAGGTGATACACCTCTAAAATTAACTTTTTAGTTCTAAACTAAAAGTAGAGGGACCTGAACTGCAGCTGCCTCTACAACCACATGCAGAACATACTGTATTTCAGACGAGTGGGTGCAATGTTCACCTCTTCATGAGAAGTGCTGGGAAAATTCAGGGGCATTCACATTTTGATTGAGCATTGGGATACTTCCTCTTGTTGGTGCACATATTTGACCAATTCCCATGGGGGGGTTTTGTGCCTCCATTTCCCAGCAGTTAAGTACTCTATTTTGGCAAACCCTGTAGGTTTCATGTCATGACCTCAGCTTTCTGTCAAGACAGTAAAGAAGAACTCCATCCAGTGGTGTTAAAGGATTTTTTTCCTTCAAGGCAGTGGTGTAAAGCTGTATGGAAATAATTCATCTCCATTGTTAAAGAATTGAGTAAAACCAGTTTATTTTTTTTCCCGGATCTCAATGAATATGTTTTAAAGGAATGATCCCGATGCTCAAGGAAAATCCTTCACTCCAAGAGCTGTGAAAATGCAGCTCTGACAGAAGTCTGGCACCCACCCGGTATCAACCTTACTTTTCCTGGATATGGCTCTGCATCCTTTGTATGGGTGAACTTGGAATCAAGAGCATTTCTCTGCCAAGTGTCTTTGAATGGCAAAGGATCACACACTCAGTCATGGTGGAAGCATTTGGGGTGCAGTCCTCTTTTAACTTAAAAAGGATTTGTGTGGACACAGCATCAGTCCAGCTCCATTTGCCAGTTCCTTGGTTCGGAGCAGAGCTCAGCACCTGCAGCCTGCACAGGCTCTGTCCTGGGCCTGGAGCCCACCCATGCACTTCCCTCTGCTGGAGAAGGCACAGGAGCCACGTTTGCCACAGGCTGCTTTCATGTTCTCTCCTCAGGTTCCAAATGCAGTTGAGCTGAAACAACAGTGTGTACCAACACAGACAAGCCTTTTCTCTGTCCTGCCTTCCCATTCCTTTTCTTATGGATTCTCCCCATCTAAAAGGTGTCATATGTACACTAATGAAAAGACACCAAAGATGCATTTTAATATGATTTACCAAATAGTTTTGCCAGCTCTGCTCAGGTCTTCTCTTTTTTTCTTATTGTGAGTAGTTACCCATCTTCATGGAATTACTGTATATTATTTCTGTTTAAGACTTACAGGTATATTTTACAATTGTCTCCTTTGTGGGGAGTAGGGGTAGTTTAGTGTGTTTAGCCTACTTCTGCTCAGAAAGCTCACAGTAGCTGGAAGTACCACATGAAAAGGAGATGATGTGTAATTAAAATATTATATAAAAATGTCTTCACTGCATGTTCTGTTTTACAGAGTTGAAAAATAGAACTCCTCTGAAATTTTCTCTGGGTTTTTATTACAGCCTTATACCTAATTTGGGCTGTGTTCTGAGCAGCTGAGTGTGTTGTGTTGCAACAGAATGAAGTCTATGGGAGGCAAAAGGGCAGTGCAACTGCCAGCCACATTCAGAAGAAAAAGATAAATGGAAAACTAAGAATAGCTTTGCCCATTTTCAGGGAGGAACCTTCCATCTGATGAGGCCCTTCCTAGCTCACCACAGTGCCTCAGCAGGTGATTCCTCCTGTCCTTGCTTTGCAAGTTCAAATGCCCACGTGCCTCCAAACCGTGATGCTATGCAGGGATAGAGAGCAGGTGTGTGCCACAGAGGGGTGGAGGCACCTGTAACAGAGATGTCAACCTCAGTGCTTCTGCCTGGTGTGTTCTGTAAGCTGCCCGGGCCTTGGTTTTCCATTTTTAGTGTTTGTTTTCAGACACGTGGAGCATGAGGCAACCTGCAGAGCAGGGGTGGCTCTAAGATTACCTCTGTGTTTAAATGTCCTGGTTGTGGGACTTGAGGCTGTTCCCCCTGCCCCACACAGGGCTGGCATCCACCACCTGGGGCAAGCCAGCCCTAGAGCAGGCTGGCCATGCTTATCCCTGCATATCCTCTGGTCCCTAAGGCATAATTATCCTCTTTTTCTCCTTTTCTAAATTTTTTTTGGCTTTTTCAGTGTTACTTTCTAGCAATGAAAACTCTCAATGTCCTTTTCAGCACTTTTGTTAACCAATCCCCATCTTTAGAACAAGAGTGCACTAACAGAAGCTACTTTTACCATTTGGGCCCTTTATTTCTTCTGATCTAGAGCAGGCATGGCAATGCTTCTCTGTGTCCTGAAAATCCATTAAATACAGAGATATTTCGACACAGGTCAATACCTCAGACTGTGATTAACTTATTGCTTATTAACTTGTTGTTTTGGGTGCTAGGATGATGCATCCCTTACATTGCTGGCCTTTTCCATCTGAATAGCAACCAGTACTGCCCTCTGGAAAAGATCAAATAAAACAAAGACCTTTCCCCTGGTATCAGTTATCAAAATTACAGTCAAGTCAATCAATGCTTTCTGTTTACCTCTCTATGTTTATACTTACATTTCTATTTCTGTCTGTAATGCAGTAGTAATTTGTGAGTCTTTAGGATTTTATTAGACTCACAGGATGCCACTTCAATACATCTTTGAAAATAGTTTCCTTCCAGAGTTGAAGTGTGGACTGACCTCAGCTTTAGGAAAAAGTCACTCTTTGCCAGGGAGTAAGAGGCATGGAATTGAAGTTGTTGTTTTGCTCAGTGTTTATCCAGGGGTGCAGTGAATTAGCAGAACATTCTTGTACCAGGTGAACAGAACAAGAAAGCTGTTAACAAAATATCGCCATAGGGTGTAATTAGAAATGGGAGAGGTTATCTGCATTTCACCTGATTTCTTACTGCTTAATCCCTCCTTCTAGATTGTGCAGAGCCTGGAAGACTGCTTTTATAATAGCCTTTACTTATGACTGGTCCCTGAGAGGGAGGCTGACTTCAGCATATCAGAAATGGGCAGAAGAAGAAATATTAATTTACAAGTTGTTGAATAAATGAGCACCCCTGTGGAGGCATCTGTTTTTCTGGGTGTAGAGTTACTTTGGCTGGGTAGGGCTAAGGATCTCCAGGCTTGCTTTAAGCTGGGTTGCAGAAACGAGGCTTTTGCAGGTCTGCTCTTACAGTTTCATTGAACAAAGCCCCTGCAAAATCCCTGGGTTATGAAATATTTCCTCTCTGTCGGGTCCCAGACAAGAGATGGCATCTGCAGAGCCAGAAAAGGAAGTCCTTGCCTTATAGAGAGAGCTCTTGGTGTGACACAATGGCTGATATAAAGTGTCGGGGGAGCTGAGTAGAAGGCAAAGGAACAAAGGAAGATCGAGACTCGGTGGCTGTCTCGGGCAAAAGGAAAGTGGGAAGTGCCTTGGGCATGGATAAATTTAAGGCTGCACTTGTTCTGGCTGGGGTAGGGGATGCTCTCGGTTATCGCAATTTCTCCCGCGAAAACAATGCCTTAGGAGCAAAAATCCAGCAGGAGCTGAAGGAAATCGGAGGGCTCGAGAACCTGGTGCTGTCTCCTGACAAGTGGCCAGTAAGTGACAACACGCTCATGCACATGGCTACAGCTGAGGCTGTCATCACAGGTAGGTACAGCGGGAACAGCGGCCACGGGCTGCAGAGGAGCTGTGGAGCTGCTGCATTTCTTAGAATAAGCTTGATTGCTGGGGAGATCGTGAGAAAGCGTGTCAGAAATGCTGCTTTTGTGAATAAGAATGTGCATTAGCTTGGCTGCTCCATGAGCACAATCCTGTGACCCTCTCACAGATTGGGGGATCTTGATTTCTGGAGCATGGACAGGCTCTTCCTATATTTTCCCCAGAGATATACAGTTGGTTAAAGACAAATATCACATGTCCAGCATAACAAACTAATTGCCAAGTAGATTATCTGTATGCTGGAGTACATCAGGGAATAATATAGCCACTAGAGAGTCTTCTGTAACAGATAAGAATTCTTCTGAGTGCATTTTTCACATGTTCGTGTCCAGGCTGGAATAGAGTTACCTTAGTACCTCTCTCACGCTAAAAGCACTAGTGCTGTCTCCTCTTTACTGCCCCTCAAACGAAGGGTTGCATCTGTAAAAACCTATTTATTTTATAAGGAGAGCTCCATGTCTTTAGTCAAAAAAGTATCCTAACACACTGTATTTATAATTAAATCTGTGAGAATAGTGGAAGTTATTAAGATGTCTTCTAAAATCACAATGGTTTGAGAAAGAACATTTGTTTTTTCTTGAGATGGGGGTAGTGTTTTTAAGATGAGAAGTGCTTGTGTTGACACCTTACCCATCAAACTGGAGCTTTCTGAGACTGGCAAGATCATAGAAAGTGCACCAGAAGACAGTGACCTCTCAAAAATATTTTGCCTCTTCAGAATGACTCAATTTTTCTTAAATCTCTGTAAAAGCATTCCTGATTTTTCTCAAAACTCATAACACTGGATAACTATGAGTAGCAGAAGCTCCCAGTGTAGCAGAGTATCCTTCACATCAATGAGGTTTCCTTTGTGCTAGTGTTTCACTCCTTTATCTGCCTGCTTCCAATCTGCTCTAAATTTAGTAGGTAGAGATCAGTTGAAGAGTGTGTAGGACACTTCATACTTGGCTATTAGCTGACCAATGGTTTAAGGGGTAGCTAATACACTAAAGATAAGAGTAAGATGTCAGCCTATCAAGAAAAAAGATGACTAGCATATTTCTGAATATAGGCTATGATTAAATACGTATCATATGTTTCTTGCTTATTGAACCCTCTAAAACCATAACTTCTGGGTAATCAAGTCAGTTACAACAACAGTAAAACAATAATTCTTCTCTTAAGTATAGCAGCCTGTAAATTGCTCTAAAGAAAAAAGTTTAAACTACTTTTTCCATTGACGGTGTTTATCCTACACTCTCATTTCTTTCACCTGGTCAGACAAGCATTTTAAAAAGGTACTTTCATGGGCTGGAGAGGAAACAGCAAGATGGAGTAGGGAATTTTAGAAAAAAAAAAATCTTCATTTCACAGCAGCATTGGTGAGTGGGATAAAACGAGTCCTTCTCCTGCTTCCCACAAGGGAAACAAGAACCTCTCCTGCCCACAGCAGGGTCTCCTGACATGGGGAATGCAAAAAAGCCCCATGGCTTGCTCATGGCCCAGCCTAGATGCAAATCACCCTCATCAACAGAGTGAAGCTGAAGAAGGTGAACATCTGTGAGGCTGAAGGCATCTGCCACCAGCCCTGGGGACCTACCCCACCAGCCCTGGGGACCTACCCCTACCCCTTTTTTTAAAAAAATTTGTGGAAACAGATTTTTTTAAAAAAAGGATAGGGAAATAAGCAATACAAATATCTGTAATTCCCTGCCCTGCTCCCTGCACACCCTGTTTGCCTGGCTGGCTGCCTGCTGGCCACAGCATTCCCCAGACACTCACCTGCAGTTGCAGGATATTTGTAGGTTGGGACAAACTTGAAACTTGCCCTCAAAGCCATGAAGTCCTGCAGTCATTGTCGGGGCACTCCTCGGGCAGCTCCCAGCCTGAGGCTGAGGCAGCAGCCAAGGGGCAGGCTTGTGTTAGAGGCAAAGGCTGTTCCCACCTGGGAAAGGGATTTTGGCCAGTGCTTTGGCAGCTGCACGGAGAACATCCCAGGAGAACAGCCCAGGAGGGGCATGGCCACAAGCAGCCTGGGCTGTGGGCACTGCTGCAGACTGAGTTGCTGCTCCCCAAATCCACCCTGGGCCCTGACTGAAAGGCTGATCTGACAATGAAGGACAGACACAACATCTGCTCCCAGGAGGAGTCTGTTCTATAAGGAGGAACAAGGACAGCATCCTCAAATGCAGGAAAACTACCTCTGTAACAACAAAAGTGCTGTCGTTTTCCTCTCTTGCTTACACATGGGTTTAAAAAAAATGAGTTGATTTCTAAAGAAAGAACCTGTCCTATTGATGTCTGAGACAGCAATCTGGCTCCAGGCATGGGGAGCCATGGTGGGCTTGAACAGCCTGGAGGTGCTGGACCACAGGGACTCTGTGCTCTGGGGACGAGGTTTCTGCAGGAGCTGCCAGGCATAAACCCTGCTCCTGGCTCCCATCTGGATAAACTGTGACACTTGACTCCTAAATCTGGAAAGAGCTGGCAGCTTGAAAGTGTCTTGTTTCTTCAGGGATGTTATGTGGGATAGCCAGTGTAACTGGTATGGTATTATTTCATGTGAAACAAGAGGAATCTTTGTTCTGCTCTTCATCTTCTTTTCTGCCTGCCTCCATAACTGGTACTTCAGAATGTCTCTTGCTTCTGGGACTCCAAACTTTCCCCTAAGTTAAATTGTGGATTTCCGGAATTCACCATCTCTGACAAAATGAAGATATTTTTAGAACTTCCCCTGCTGTGCCATTCAACCTGTGCAACTAACCAAGTATTAAATGGGGTTTCTCTAAGTATGCAGAAAATATATAAGTGGATAAATCCCTTTGGCCTCTCTTCCCACTGATTACAAAGCTGTAATAGATGCCAGTGGAAGGTTTTCAGGATTGTTCAAGACCAACAACAGACAACATCAGCCGAGAGGAGCAGCAATACTGAAGAGTCTATGTTTAACAGAGGGAAGGTTCCTCCTTAGGCAAGACTGTAGGCCTTTGTAAAAACAATCTATAAACAGATGTAATTAGTGAACTTATTACAGAGAGAAATTTATGCACTGGAAACCACCTCAGGCAGTTGAGATTTACTACTCTTACTGATTTTTACAGTATTTTTTTTTAAACCTCACTGTTCATGATATTGTAAGATATTTGGAACCCTGCATGAAAGACCTACAAATTTTAGACAAAATACATATAACCTACAGATTCAAAAAAGGAAGTTGCGATTTGTTTTTTTATCTAGTCATACATATCTCTTAAAGTGATTCTGTAATGTGGTAATTTCAAAAAAAAAGACTTTCATTTTTAAATTGGATTCATGTCTGCAAAGGCAGGGGCTGAGCCAGCCACATCTGGCTTTACCCAGAGCCCATGGCAGCCACTCTGTCACCTGACAGTTGATCACCTCTGTAATGATTTCACACCACAGAGCTTAAATAAAGGCCCTCAGCAGCTACTGTTGATTAACAGAGTGCTTCATCATGCCTGTGAAGGAATTAAACGTGGAAAGAAAAGAAGAGAAAGATGAGAGCTGAGAGTCAAGACCATTCTCCCTCCAGCCTGCTGTCATGTTGTGTAAAAATGTGACAGTGGCACCAGAAGCATGACTCAGTATATTGGGAGTGGAAACAGGAATATTTCTCAAATGCACAGTGAGCTTGCTTGCATGTTTGTTTGCTCCTCTGCCTTCACACAACAACCTTCTCTTCCCTGCTCTGGGCAGATTACTGGTGTTTGGAGGACCTGTACCGCGAGCTGGTGAAGCGCTACGTGGATGCTGTGGAGAAGCTCTCGGGCCGGCGGCCAGACCCCGCCACCATCGAGGGCTGCAGGGAGCTAAAGCCAGACAACCACCTCCTGGCCTGGCACACACCCTTCAATGAAAAGGGTACAGTACCACTTTCCTTGTAGAGGGCCTGGCTGGAATAGTGCATGCTCTCTGTGTTTGTGGCTATATGGAAATTTTTTCCTTTTCCCCTGACATCAAAGGCCACTACCCCTGAAACGTTTCCATGCTTGCCTGAGGATGACAAGAGATCTGCCAAGAATTCCTTCTGTAGGGCACTGTGTCCTCTTGTAAGCAAACCCCTCCCTCTTTAACATCTATTTAAAGAGACTTTGTCCTTGGCTCTGTGCCTCAGGGTCCAGATCTTTGTCCTTGAGTTTAATGGTTATTTTAAGAAATATTTTCTGCCATTTTTCCTTTAAACATTTGTAGACTTGGATCTTTTCAGTTAAACCAGATCTGAAACAAAATGCCGAGCCTGTAAATTGCTAGAGCACCAACACATTCACTGAAGGGAAAGCAGAAACTTTTCTCCATTTGGATGCCCTGCTAACAACTATGATTGTTTTGTTGATAGTCCCTAATATTCCTACTCTGGTTTACCTATGCCTGTCCCTCTCTTTCTTTCCCTTTATGATCACTTACTTTTGCAATGAATAAAATTTCTACTTAAAGGTAAATAACGTGCACGCAGCTCTGTGCACACACAGAGCAATTCATCCTGAAAGCCTGTAGAGACACCCCATTATCAGAGAGGGGGAACCCAGACAGCCACAAACGGTGTCAGCTCACACCCATGGTGTGACACTCAGCCACTGCAGAGCACACTGCCTCAACAGAACTGCCTATTGATGCCACACCATGCCAAAGACTCGGTGGCACAGGGCCATGGCTATTTCTGGGTCTCTGCAGCCAGTTTTCTCTGACAAATAAAGCATCTCTCACTTGTCCCCTGCTCCTCTCAACAGCTGCTGGGAGTGAAAAGGGTGCATTCTTCCCACTCTGCTATCAGCCAGCCAGACCTGAGAAAGTGCCCCTTTGGCAGTTGTCATGTGTTTCGTGACTGACAGTGGATAAAATTTGGGGAAAATAATTGTGGGAGCTGCTGTTGGCCCCAGGTAGCTCTTAACATTGTTTGACAAGCAGTTGAGTATGGCTGTTGCAGTGGACTCATGATCCACTGCAGTGTTGGAGCTACCACTCTTCTTTCAGCCTTCCTCCTCCCCAGCTTTCCATGGACTATCTGCTTTGGGGATACTCTGGGCTAGAAGAATCTAAAATTAATTCCTTCCTTGAGATCTGGCAGCTAAAAGCCACTTTCTCCATCTGGTCTGACAAATAAGCATTCAGAACATTTCAGGAAGCCTTTTTTTCACCCTCAGAGCAGAAGAACCTGAAGTGAAGATGTTCTGTTTTCTATGGGACCCAACAGTGCTATGGACATAATTAACTTTGAATTGAATTTGCACAAAATTCTTCTTGAGGCAAAAACATGCCACAGGCATTGAATGCCTGGGATTGCATGCCTAGCACTCAGACTATATTTTGGATGGGCTGGAACCAAAGGTTGATTTGCTGTGGGCATTCTATCTTATCTAGCTTCCAGCAATAATTCTTGTGCCAGTATTCATGGACTTATCTTAGGTAATATTGCATTGCTTATGGATGCTTCTCTGCTCAAATTCTTGTGGGTTTAGTCAGTACACTGAATCCCTAAGTCAAATTGCTCTATGTGTCTCTGCCACCTCATGTCATGCTTGTTGCCACGCTCATTGCAGAGATACCTGGGTTATGTTAGAGGCTGATGAGATTCCTGTGACCACCAGAAAACCTGCCCAAGATTGTCTAACACCTTCCATTTTAAGAGCTTGTTTACAATTTACAACACGATAAGCACAAGGCTAAAATTCTCTCCATTAAGAGTTTGCCTCTGTTTGTCTGTAAGTACTCGTTTAAAGTTTTGATGCAGGTGAATCTGCTGTTTCTGAGACACATTAAAATGTTTTGACCCAGTGCCAAAGCTTCAAATTCTTCAGAAGAGAATCATTGATGTTATAGAACTGGAACTAAAATTTAAATAAGGTAGTACCCCCTGAGCCAGATGTTTGCTTTTGGAGTGACTGCAAGAGGCCAGTCAAATGGTGGGTCAAATAGTGGGCTCTACCTGTATCACATGTATTTCAGGCTGAGACTGCTGCATCCAAGCAGCTCTTTATTTGCAGCTGTAGAAGCAACTTCTGGGCCTCCTGGAAGCATCTGAGAACTTTTTGCAGGTGGTATTGGCAGAGGACCATGAGGGAAAAGTGTGAGGAAAACTGAGGAAAATGAGGGGAAAGTTGAAGAGAAGGTTAAGCTGCAGATGCACAGGGGATAAAGGTGCTGGGCTCTAAGTTTACATGCAGAATGATCTGTCGTCACAAAAGGCACATCCTCCTCAGGGCTTAGCATCCATTACCCTAATCTTTGCTATTCTACAGGTGTTGAGTGAAGAAAATCACACTGAGGTATGACATACTAAAAAAGAATAATATAGTGCATGAATGAAAAGGAAAATAACTGGGAAACAGATAGGTACAGCAAAAATTCACTGTCTCCTCCAGGACAGCAATTTCAGGAGACTTCTAATGAAACTTGGAGGTCATGAGCTCAAAGCAAGACAAAAAAAGACTTCACACAACACCTACATAAGCTGCATAACTATTTTCCAATGCCAATTTGCAGATGCTACAGTTCATGTGAGTTTGAAAACGAGCTGGGCAAATTCACCCAGGGGAAATCCTTCAAGGGTTTTTAAGCAGAAAGATGAATAGCCAGCTGCCTCCTGGATCAGGGAGACAAATTGTCAGCAGCTTAGTTAGTACAAGGGGATAATGTGACTTTTTCTTGAGTATCCTCTTCATTGTCAGACATGATAAGTTGGCTTGACCTTTGGTCTGATCATGGAGGACAGTTTTTATGTTGTCACATGTGTCACTCCTGTTGCTTGGACTAGTCTTATTGTCCCTTGTGTCCTTAGTTCAAATGGTAGATGTGAGAGATGGGATTTAGCTCCCTGCAGCTCTGTCTGGGTTTAATGCTACTCCATGTGATGGAATTTTTTGTTGCCAAGTTTACTTGTCTAATTCTGCAGAAGGTTTTGATGGAACTTCCCAGAGTGTAGGAAGGCAATGAAGTGGCAAAGACAAGCTCCTCCAGACCAGCAGTCAGATTACTGTAGTGCATCTTCCACTTTGGATATACTGAGAGATGTCATTTAATTAGCAGCTCTGTGTAGTGCAAGAGCCTCCCCTCTTGGACATCCAGCATGGACTGTGTCCTTTGGAGAAACCAGGTCTGCACAGTGAACACTCTCATCTGCTACTCTATGGCAGCAGATGATTTAATGAAGAGTTTGGTCTTGCAAGCAGAAGATATTTCTCCCAGTTGAGTGATGCCCTGGAAGACTAGATTTCCTTCCTGACTCTTCCTTGTGGTTTCCATGTGATCAGTGGGATAGGCAGACAGTTTCATCTGCTCCTGGAGAGCTGCTCTAGGGGAGGGGAAGAATTTTTTTCCTAAGAGAGAAATTCAGATATTGCACCTGGAAATGCCAGTACGTGGCTTATGTTAGTTTGGCTCAGGCTTCAGTTTGGTTTGAAGCAGATCTCACTGCCACCCCCACTACTCCACTTGGATCACACTCATAATCTTAGGACGTTGGAGCTGGAGCCACTTGGCATGAGACTTGATGGCAAGAGATGTTCCAAAAGAGCCCCTGGTGCTTTGCTGTCACAGCAGACAAAGCCCAGTGGAGCAGCTGAGGACTCTTCTCCAGATAAGTGACTGAAAGCTGTGACCCTGGCTCCTTGGCATCTGCTGCTTCAATTCACTCTGGCCCCCAAGCTGCTCCTACTATGCCATCATACACACTAATGGACATGCTGCCTTTTCCATGCTGCCTGCCTGGGAAAGACAAGGAGAGTGGGCTCCTAATGCAGGTTCACATAAGCTAAAATTAGGCGGCATAAATATGCCCCTTATCTTCCAGGAACCTAGAAGAGAAATGCTGATTGCTCTCAGCTATTCCCAAGGTCACTGGGAAGTGTGATTGAGCAAAGACAGCACTGAAAAATGCCAAGTACTTTGAAAAATAGAAGCCTATCCATCTCAGGGTGGTTGCCTGCAAAGAGTTAATGCTTTTTTGGGCATTGGCTCACCAGCTGCAAAGAGGAGATAATCACCTCACTGGTGCCTAGTGAAGATAAGCTCATTAAAACTTCTCTGGGATCCTAAAATTACTGTGATAAGTACTGCAGAGAAACTCATTAGTAAGTTTAACTCCATTCAATGAAGTGTTTAAAAGTTGAACGCCTGGGATCACACATTCAGTGCTAAGGATTAAAAGAAATTCTGAATTAGCTCTTCAATAAACAAATTTTGTACTGCATGGGGGTGGAAGTTCCCAAGACTAAGCTTGGTAAGTGTAGGCTGTAGCACAACAAGCACTAATTTCAAGTTGCATGAGAAACTTCAGTTGTGACATCGCCTAACTTTGTAGGATTTGGCTCGGTAGCCTTTAGTTTCTTTTGGACACATTATTTTTGCACGTAGCAGAAACTGGTGAGGCATTAAAATTGAAAGGTGAACTGTGAAGCTCATATGAAGTGTTTTAATTGTGTTTACAACTATAAAATAAGGGTGTGTGGAAATGTATCTGTTTCTCAAGTTCTGTTTCTGGTGTGGGTCCCCGGAGCAAGCAAAACAGCAGTCAGCCAAAAATGAATGAAGATGGGATGAGAGTTTGGATCAAACAAGTCCTGTGAACAAGAGGGCACACAGCTTTCTGAGTCAACTGTGGTCTTCATAGCACTTGATTATGCTGGAATATTCCTGTAAAACCAGAATGACTATGTAGGAGCAAAATTCCTCACAAGAAATTTTCAAAACTTGTAACTCATTTTGCATGGTAATTTCCCATTCCCAGGAAAGTTCCCTTCCCACACATGAACTGAATTAATGAAGTGCACTTGTCTCACATTTTATCAACACATTTGTGTGAGATCAGTCTCCTTTTAAATGCATGGTGTTATCCTTTTGCTCTAGGTTCTGGATTTGGAGCCTCCACAAAAGCCATGTGTTTAGGGATGCGATACTGGAAGCCAGAAAGGCTGGAGTCGCTCATTGAAGTGAGCATTGAGTGTGGACGAATGACTCACAACCATCCCACAGGTAATGCCTGCACTCTGACATCCCCTAAGGCAGCTTTGCTCTTCTGCAGGGACTGACATGGCCCCTGTGAACTCCCCTGGTTAACCCACTTCTGCTTTGCAGGCTTCAAGGCCTCAGTTTGAACTTTGCTTTGTTGATACATGCATGTGTATATTACTTATGTGGGCTTATATATTTGCTTGTATATTATGCTTACGGCATCCTCAAGCACAGTTGTTTTCTCTTCCAAAATCCCAAAATGTAAACATAGCCTGCCTTGTCCAAAGCATATTCATGTTAGTTCCCCCGATCAAATTTTAGGATTCATGTATATCTAGATGACTCATTGTTACCATGCAAATTTATGGTTCAGGGGATAACAACATTTTTCTCTTGGCAGGTTTTGTCATATCCAATCACTGTAGGTAAAGGTAGTAAGCCAAAAAATCCTAGCTCCACATATTTTAGGATACAATCTGAAACATTTTCTAAACAAAACATAAATAAGCAGATTTAATGTTGTTTTTAATATTCAGGTCTGTCATTTTGATAATTTTAAGCTACGTAAACATGTATTCATTCTGTCTGTTTTAAACAGCAATAAATAAAACCATAATGAATGGTGACATGTTCAACACACTCAGCGCTATGAAGCAGTCAGAAAAGTCATTATGATGCCATAAAATTAGGGAAAAGCATTCAAAACAAAGCAGAAAATTAGGCTGGCATGTAAAGTCTGTGGTGCATTAGCAACCATAAGACTGCTTGTAGTCTGTGTCCATCATGTCAGAAAGGGCTTATGAGACCCAGAAAATGGCAGCAAGGAGGGTCCAAGTTGTCAGACACCTTCCATACAATAAGAAATTACATCCAGAAAGAGTTTTCAGCTGGGAAAAGAAACAAGTAGCACAGCAGGAAGTCAGGAAGGAGAGGGGTGGAAGGACCCCACGCACCTCACTGCCGTCCTGAAATGTGTCAGGGAAATGTCAGTTGTGATCCTCGTAACTCAAACTCAGAATACCCAACAAGTGTGTCAGTTGGGACTGAAACATGAAGACAAAGGAAATACTTGCCCATGTTATGCACAGTGAAGCCTCAGACCTTGCTGCTACAGGCTGCTGCAAGGTCCACAAGTATGCCTGGGTTCAAAAGAGACCAGGCAAAGAGGCTGTCTTGTCAAAATCAAACAAGCTGCGTAATTAGAATGGCCCCTAAAACTAGCCTTGTTGCTCTGGGGAATGGAGAAGCCAAGCCACTTCACTCTGGGCTTCCCTCTGTCCTACAGAGGCAGACACATTGGCTGGGGGTGCTTTCCTTTCTATTGAGGAGCAGCAGGCTGTGTGAGGGCTGCCGTGAGCAGGGGCAGCAGGGTGACAGCTACAAGGGTGGGCAGCCTGGGGAGGGGGCAGGAGGAGACTGCCAGCCCCTGGACACCTTGAGGGCACACTCCAGCCTCTGCCACCTTCTGAGTGAGCTGTCCACTGCCCCCTGCTAGCCCTTTGATTCACACTCTAAACCCTCTGCTGCCACCTTCACAGTAAACGTGGCCCTCAAGGATCTTTGTGGCATCTGCCCTAGATGCTGTCTATGTGTGAGACCCTTTGGGCTGGGTCTACATGGGCTGTTATTCTTTATGAGAACATCTATGGGATTCAAGTTGGATGTGCCTTGGGCCTGACCCAGTATTGCAGGTTTGTGGCAGAGGGAATTAGTAATCACCTCATCTGGGCTTGTCACCTCCTAAGATAATTTTGTTTTACCTTCAGCAAAACACACAAAATTCATGATTACCTCTATGCATGAATGAACGCTTTTGGACCCATGCACTGAGAGAAGAACCTGCATCAATACTTTGCTCAGCTAGGATTTATTTAAATGACTGACTGGTTTTCCTAAGCTTCTTTTGCACACTGCACCAGGTTGGTTTTTTGCCCTTGCCAGAATGCCAAGAGGACAAATACAAGAAATGAGCTGAGTGTTTCTGGTGTCATAGAAGTGTTGAGTGCCCTTCAACAGTTATAACATTTGTAATATTTAAAATGTTGAAATATTTGTGACCAAAGTAGAGGACAAGCATGTCTTCCTTGGACAATTTCTTCCTTCTTCTAAGGGGACATGGGTTTGTTCTCCTAGAGTTAAATGAGCCAGAAATAGTGTTAGATCTAGCAACCACAACTCTTAAACTGGATGATGCTGTAAACAAGCTGATATAGCCTGTAATTGAATCACTTTGTACAAGTCAATTATTTCATGTGACTTCAATTAGAAGATTTTCAGTATCCCATTGGTAGATGATGTTTATTTTTGACCCCTACCTCAATTTCTATCACATTACACCACTGAGAACAGAAGCTCCCTTCCATGTAAGATAAGTCGCAAACCAAGGGGCAGCACTCATTAGCCAATAATCTCGACATGCCACAAGCCAGGCTGCAAACAGGCAGAGAGGGGTTGTGTACATTTGTTAATCTACCTGACAGCCATGAGGTATTCCACTGGTGATTTTAAGAGGAAAAACAAGGACAAAAGGATGGTACCAGCACAGATGCACACTGGTAATCCTCTTTATTTGTGAATTCCAGGTTTCCTAGGGTCCCTTTGCACAGCTCTCTTTGTGTCATATGCAATACAAGGGAAACCCCTTGCTCAGTGGGGCAGAGAAATGATGAAGGTTGTGCCTATGGCTGAAGAATACTGTAAGAAGACCATTCGTCACATGGCAGGTACCAACTCTGGATCAAATGTTTATTTTCTTAAGGCTATCTTTAGCTGGAAAGGCACTGAAGAAATGGCACTCCCTAGTCTTTACACCTTTCTGCTTTCCCCCCTCTCCTCCCTCCAGAGGTTGTCCTCCTGCTTTCTCTGCTCAGAGAATTAAGCCCTTCACAGGTGGTGCCACCTTCTTCTACCACCAGTTAGTTCCCTGGTGTATTGGTGGCAAAAATACAAAGCAAAACAGCAATGACCATGCCCTACTGCACAGTTTTATTTTTAGGGAATCTTCAGAGATTGCTGGGCAGGGGGGAGGAAGGAAATTATATTTAGCAGGTCATTAGGCAAACTGACTGCTGAGATTAATTATTCAGCTGCTTTCCATCAATTAGTGCAGTTCAACATCTTCCTTAAGGAAAACCACTGACACTCCTCATCATACCAGGAAAATTTCACCTGAGATGCCTCCTGACCAAGAGTTGGCTTTTGACCACAATTCAGATTTGCCTTGTTGCTTTTCTGAACAGATTTGTTTCAAACAACTAAGTGTTACCCAACTACTGAACTTGATACTACCACTTTATTATTGCTATGCATGTGGTCTTTGGGGCAAAGGTACCTTAGTCCCCCCTTGTCAGGAAATGATGTTTGTAATGGTGAGACCTGCCGTGGACTGATGAGTATCATTCCATGGAAACATCAAGGTAAGAGATTAAGGGACAGCTGTTGAAAAAGACTGAATTCTATAGAAATCTTTACTCAAGAGCACTCAGAAATTAAAATTAACCCCTGAAGAAAAGCTGCTGCTTTAAAATCTGAAAGGAGTTCCGGGAAGGCTTTCTGAAAGACCCTGCGTTTTCATCCGTGCCTCATTGCACACCAGGATTTTTTTAGCAGAGACCCATGAGGAGCAGGTGCAGGATTAATGTGATCAAGCTTCTCTCTGAGTGGCTTTGCAGCAGGTCCCTGTCACTCCACTGGAGCAGGACCCCTCGTGTGGAGGTATGTGTGCTGGGCTCCTGAGGCATGCCCTCCAGCCAGTGCCCGTATTGTTGAGCTTCATCCTATTTTGGTAATGGGAAAAGTGTCCTGCATTAAAGTTAAGCTCCTTGGCTGCTGAGATGTGCTGCAAAGAAATCCTGCCAGAGTCCTCCAGTTTTAGAAAATCCTATTTTAGCTATATTATCCCCCATGGATAACAAACAGAGAGTTTATTATCCATGTCACAGAGAGTTCGACTCTACACCCCTCTCTGATATCCAGCTGCAATTACTGGCCAGATGGTTCCATGGACCTGAATGTGGCCATCACCTCAGCTGGGCTCAAGGGATGGTGCAGAGCCTTGCTAGGAGTAGTGCCATGGGATTCTGACCATGCTACAGATCCACCCAACAGAAATCTCCTTCACCTGCTTGATCCCTCTATTTCTGAAACTGTGGAACAAGCACCTTGCTTGTTAAGGTGCTACATAGAAAGCATTCAGTTCTGAGGCATTTATGGTTGATTGTCATGAGGGAATAAGGGAAAAAACCCCACAAACAAATAACCAAAAAGCCAACAAAAAAAGGAAGAGACAGGTCAGGTCACTCACATTTCTAAAAGTTGTCATAACCAGCTGCTCTAGTGGGTGTTGATAGCTTACATTTGCTTTGCTTACATTTGTTTTCCTCTAGATGCCATAAATACATCTAGATGCTCTCCTTGACCTGTTGGCTGTAAATGCCCTTTCGCTCTGTTTTTGTAAACACCTCCCCTTTTTAGGGTTCTGGTGTATGGAATGAGGCCAAGCTGGGTCATAGTCTCAGAAAAAAGGCAGCTGGACATTTCCAGGTGTCTCAGGCACATGGTTGAATGCTCATCACTGGCTGGGGCACTGGCAGCTGACAACTTTGTAAAATTTTCAGGTCCTACAGAGCAGCTTGGATTTTTACAAAAAAGTCCCTTAAAGATCTTAATTGCCAAAGAAAGTCACCACTGTGGCATTCTAGGAAAAGAAGCAAAATCAGATTACATCCTTCAGGTGAATGGTTTGGTTGTGCTTTGCGTGTGCTTCTCAGCCCTTGCAGCACACACCACTGAGCAGCCAAGCAGGAGGGACACAGGGAAAAGCAGGAATGCTAAATTTTATTTTGCACCCATAGTCCCGTCCCAAATTGCTAGTTTGCCTTGGCACACTCACCCATCCAGGCCACCCCTCTCTTCTCTAATTCCTGACCCCCCTCAGCTTGCCAGGCAGGGTTTCCCTCAGGTCTCAGTTCTGCAGGCAGGTGCACAGGGATGTGCTTAACAGTCCAGTGTGGCTGACTTAGTTGCCTTTGTAAGCCTTTATAAAAAGGGTGAACCAGAGCATTAGCTTGAAAATAAACTAAGTTTAGTAAGTTTATTTACACGGGGAACATTAAGCATGATTAGAGATCACTCCCCAAAGTGAAAGAAAAAAAGAAGACATATGATTATTAAAAAAGGCTTATTTCTACGGCACAGGTAACAGATATGTATTTTATTTATCCCTTTGCTACATTTGATATGTATTACAATATATGCAAATGAGAATTTTGGACTTTCCTATCCGTTTTTTCCTAATGATCACACAATAAATGCAATGCAAATAGAACAAATACTGGAGAACTTATGCAAATAAAAATTGATAACTAAGGTAGGTGGCAAATTGTATTTAGGATGTGGAAGCAATTTTAGATATTCTTTATTCATAATAAAGGAATAAAAACTGACAAAGAACTGATTATTTTCTTTTTGTTGACTCTTATCTTTTCCTTGGAGTGCTCTTCTGAAAATTCTTGTAAAATTTCATCTTGATATATATTAAATGACATTAAAATAGCACAAAATTCTGAAAGTATTTTCTTCATTGCATCCTCTGTTTTCATTTAGAAGTCTCACTCCATACATACTTAGTATATATGCAGTATATTACTGTAAAATACCTGGGGTTTCATGTCCATCATTATCCTGAAAATGTTAAAGTAGAACTGAAAATGTTCTTGAAATGAAATACTACATCATTAATTTCTTTTGCCTTCAGAATATCAAGAGCACTGGTTTTACTTTGAAGCCAAGTGGCAGTTTTATTTGGAGGAGAGAGAAATCAATGAGGAAAATCAGAATCAACCTGTCTTTCCAGCCAACTATGATGCAGAGGAGAGAGAAAAGGTAACTGCAACTTCCAAAAGTTCTTTGGATGGCTCTGAACCAACAGAGGTATTTTCAAAGAGACCACTATTTTTCAACTGATGACAGTGCCAGTGTAGTACCTGAGCAGGTACAAAATACGGGCCAAGGCTATCTGAGGGTAGAAAAGGCAAATGTCCTGCCTGGAGCTCTCATTAAAGCCTAATGGAGCTGTGGCCAGAGTCTGACAAAAATACCCTCGGGTATTAGAAGCTGGATTTTGTCTTGTTTAGTGGAGGGTGTCCCTGCTCCTGGCAGGGGATTGGAACTCAATGGTCTTTAAAGGTCTTTTCCAATCCAAACCAGTCTATAATTTTTGGGTCCTTTGAGCAGAAGACAGACATGCCAAGTGATCGATTCGCTGCCAACCTGGGCTGTGCCAAGCTAGTTTTAAGTGTCTTGAGAGATGGTGTTTCACCACATTCCATGAGATACTATTTTATAATGTACATGATCTTTTCTTTGCTGGTTATATCTTCTTAACTCAAGAGAAATAATGTGTCTTCTTCCCTGCTGTTTACAGCTATCTGATACAGGCTGGCACCCCCCCAAAGCTCTCCACTTAGCAGCTAAGCAATAAGTATGTGGCTCTTGGCACCTTTTGCCATAAATCAATCCCTTTTTTCCAGATTATGTAAATACAGTTCTATGCTTATGAGCCACTTTGTGTATTTTTAGGTGATGAAGTCTGATTGACTGTGGATAATAAGAAACTGCTCACTCTAAGTATAAAGAATATTCCTTTCCAGGTTTATTTTACTAATTCAGTGCCAAGAATTTGCTACTAGCTTTATATTCCTTCCAGTACTACTGAAGTCTCCGCAGAGCTTTAGGAGAGATTAAACCAAACAGCAATTTCCCATGACCATTTCAAGACGGAACTGTATGAACTTCTAATGCAAAAGCAAAATTTACCTTTGTTACCCTAGCCCAACTATTTTGGCCCACTGAGCTATGTATTTTGATGAACAAGAAAGGAAAAATGGTGCTTGACCCTTAAACTCCCCCATCAGGCAGAGATAAGATACTTTATTAGTGTGCTAGGAAAGAATAGATGAGGAGAAGGTAACTGCTTTGCCTGCTTTTTCCCCAAGAGTGCCCTTCCTTCACCTTCCCTCCAGACTAGCTGTCCCCTTGTGTTTGGGAATACAGCCAGTAGCCTTTCCACATGCAGAGCACCACTGTCTGGCACAACCCTTGCCCACAGATCACCACATGTGTTCCTGCTTGGCCAGGTGCACCTTCCTGCCAGCTGTGTGTGAAAGTGAAGCCCTCAAATGTGGCTTGGATTGATCCAAGCATGTTTCAAAGGCAATTTCCCTCCCAAAAAGAAATCACACCCTGAAATGTGCAGCAGCAAAGGCCACATTCTCTATAAGCTGCCATATATAATTTCTCAGTGATGTGCCTTTGGAAGATGTTAGATACATGGTGAATGGGCAGACATTGCTGAACACGTGGGATCAGCCTTGGCTCTGCAAACAAAATACTCACCTGACTCACTTTCCTGTGACGGACAGAAACTGAGGGAGGAAGGAAACCAAAGTCATCCAGGACAATTGGAATATAAGGACCTTGTTTCCTTAAGATGAAGTTGCTTAACCCAGCAGTGAGAAAGAACCCAGAAAGGTGGGGAAAATAGATCAATGGAAAAGGAGTACTAGCCAGCACAGGGTCAGCTCCTGAAGGGTGGGGAAGTCAGAGGCAGCTGTAATTACTGGTGGCAGAGGTTGACAGCAACAAGGGGAGATGTGAATTACCTCCTGTGCTTGGCAGCAGCTTGGCAGCAGCTCAGCACCTTCAGCAAGAGAGTGCACGCTAACACCCCATCCAAGTCCCAGGTCCTTGCTGGCCCACCCAAGAGAAGCTGGGCTGGTGCCGCAGAACAGGGCTGCACAAGGGCGCTGGAGCTGAAAGGAGAATGAAGCAGTTTGGGAAGTGCTGCCTTGGGGCAGCTAAGTCCTGCCAGATTCAGTCCCAGGACAGCTATCTGCAATGTAAAGCTGTTTCAGCAAGGCAAGATGACATCGGACATGTGCAGAGCATCAGGGATGAGCAGGAATAACTGGGGTGACACTTGAGCAGCCTGGCTGCACACCCAGAATAGCCCCTCTGCGCTGAGCCCTCCTGCCTTTGGAGGCAGTGTCTGTGCTGCTCCACCAGCATCCAAACTGCAGCAATAGGGCTGGAAAATTGCATGGGGCAGAGGACGGCATACAGGCATAAATATTCCCTCTAAATTGTAAAAAAAAAAAAAAAAATAAAGAAATAGAGTGAAGCTGCACTCTGACTCTGGCAGGCATGTTTGATGTAGGTGTAGATAAATCTCAACCAAGTATGAAATAGGTCAGGTGAAAGTGAATAGAGAGAAATGCCAGCTCTTAATACATGATGCAGAAGCCAAGAGCCAGCCAGCCAGGAATGTCCAACTTGCCATGATGCCAGTTAAACTTCAGGAAATAAAGCTGCCCATTTCTTCATAGGGCAGTATTTTTTAACTAAAAATTTATTCATGTTGAGATAATTTGGGAATGGAAGTATCTGCTCTAGAGAAAATCCAATTTTCCTTTGCAAATCTCCAAACTGGGTTTGGAGCTCTTTCTCCTGCCCTCTTCTCCTGGGGAAGAACTGTTTTTTACATTTGCAAATTATTTTCCCTTTTGTTCAACAACTGCTTTTAGAAGAGGAGAGAAAAGGCTTGATGTTGTCATTGTATTGCAAAAGTTCCCATACCTTCTCAGTGATTTCTCACAGTCAGCTCTTCACAGCACAACCAACAAACTCCAACTCTCAGCTCTACCAGCTAACCCACTCTTTTGTAGCACTCTTCTTATTGGACACAGCTGTGGCCTATTAAGGGCAGGCCTGTTCCTAATCTTTGGTGATTGGTACAGCTGCAACTCCTCAGGGGTGAGACTACCTTCTGCACTATCTTTATTTTCTTATATTCTCCACAGCTTGGCAAGAAAAAGACAGAGAAAGGGGCTTGAATTACATAGTCTGAAATGAAGGCCCTAAAGAAATTACTGGATCAGAACATTTTCACCTCCCGTGAAAATTTGGCTAATTGAAACATGCGCAAATGTGCGACAAGAGGAGCTGAGAATATTCCCAGAGGCAGTAAGAGGACTGATGAAGTGTGTCCTTACCTGTTGTCATATAGCGCAGGGGTTCTATTATCATTGCATAGCAAGGGTTCCATACTGCTAGAGTTCCATATCTCCCTGATGTTTCTTGTAGGCATCTCCTCTAGGCACTGACTCTTCCTTGTCCTCACAGCAGCCACCTGACTCCAGTTCCCCTCAACCACCCAATCCACTCTTTTATAACACTCTTCTGATTGGCTACAGGTGTGGCCTGTTAACATCAGGCCTGCACCTAACCCTTAGTAACTGGCACAGCTGCAAATCTTTAGGGGGTAGATTACTTTCTATACCACCTTCATTTACCTATACTGTATGCCCCTACACTTACCAACTGTATTATTTTTATATGACAAGGAATTTCTAGGATGTGAACTTGAAATCTGTCTTGATCTACTTTTTGGCATTTCTGGCTTGCTTAAACCAGCCTCTTGGCCTGGTGCATTAAGCTGGGGTGCAGGCTTATACCAGCACCTCAGGCATCACCAAGACTGCTGGAGCTGCTGCTGTGGCTCATCCCACGCTGCACCAGAGGAGCCACAGCACAGCCCCTGCTGCCCTTTCCCAGCCCCAGGAGCCATTCCCACTCAGCAGGGGAGATGCCAGCCTGGAGTGGCCATGCCTCAGGCCTGCAGCTCCAGTGCCCTGCCCTGACTGAGCTGTGTCTCCACAGACGTACCGGCGCTGGAGCTCCGAAGGCCGGGGGGGACGGCGAGGCCACGACGCCCCCATGATCGCCTACGATGCCCTGATGGGCTGTGGGGGGGACTGGACAGAGCTCTGCAACCGCTCCATGTTCCACGGAGGTGAGAGTCCCCTGGGCCTCCCACCCTTGCCAGGGCCGGGAAAGAGCCCCCCTGGCTGTCAGCTGCCTCTGTTGTCCAATCTGCCATGCTGTCTGTAACATTGTCACCTCTGGTTTTAGCATCTAAACCCTATTCTTCTGGCAGCAGCTGCCACACAAGCCATTTACAGCACTTTTCAAATGCTGCTCCATCTACATCTCATGCTTCCTCCAGAGGTACATGAGGTCTAAGTCCAGTACGGCTTTCTAAAGGGCTGACAGATGCTGGCAGAACGTGGGCACCTTTGGCAAAACAACCTTTTATCTGCATGTAATGAAACCAAGTTAGGGAGAAAAATAATACAGCACCCAAACAAGTGCCAACCAGATAAAATCCAGCACTTGGAGGCACACAATTAAGTACTTCTACAGCTTTGTGAGAGGGAACTTTCTCAATAGCAGATGCATCTTGCTGGGCTTTTGGGAGGGCCAGCATAGCTGGGGGGTAGGACACCAGCCCTGCATCACCCACTCCCTCCCTTTGTGGTGTGGGCCCTTTGCAGAGGCTCTGGGTCTCTCACCTGCCCCAACACCGTGGTGAGAGCTCACAGTCCCCACTGCAGACCCTGGCAGGCACAAACCCACAGGCACTGCATGCACAGAGCACCAGGGCTCCTCAGCAGGGCTGGGTGTTTTAGAGCCTGCACTGTGCTGTGCTGTGCATAGGGAAGAGACACTCTCCAGTCCAGAACCTTTGTTGTATAGTAGACACCCCTGGAGCTATTATTCCCTCCTTTGTTCTTAGCAATGGTTAGCTGCCTGCAAGAGCTGCTGTGCTGGAGCAAATCTTCCCAAACCAAGTGAGCTGCCAGCCCAGGAGTGCACACCATAGTGGCACCTCCATGTGCTTGCCTTGGCATGACTCTCTTGCTTTAGGCATCCTAGGCCTTTAGGACTGACCCAACACACCCCCACTGCACTCCATATGCTGGAATACGTGTGGAACACTCCCTCCATCAGTGTGGAATGCTCCCCCTCCCGGCAGGGCAGTGTTTGGCTGTGTGTGAAGGTGGCACTAAGAGAGCACTGCGATTGTGTTTGACCCTGCAGGGGAGAGCGCGGCCACGGGCTCCATCGCGGGCTGCCTGTTCGGCCTGGTCTACGGCCTGAGCAAGGTGCCCAAGGGCTTGTACCAGGACCTGGAACAACGGGAGAGGCTCGAGTTCTTGGGCGAGAACCTTTACCGGCTCTCCATGGAGGAAAAGTAAAGCAGTTTCTGCCATTTTCTCTTTCTCTAAAGATTATATCAAACCCTGTAGATATCTGACTGGCATTCATAGTGAAGGAGGTAGCCCTGAATTAGTCTGAAGAGCTCTATGTACATTGCGTGCAAGTGAAGATAGCTGAGTTATTAGACTGATTAGAATTATTAGATTGATTAGATATACGTGATATTTGTGGGTTTTTTACAGATTTAGGGATTTCTAAATATAAGGAGTGCTGCTTAAACCTCAAATGGCAAAAAAGAAATAAAACATCTTTTGACTGATTTCAGTCTAACTTGCTATAATACCACTTCTTAAACAGCTGTTTCCAGTAATTACACATATGAAATTAATTTTCAGAACTAATGCTTTCTTGCAAAACTAATGGTAGTACCCACTCACGGGGATATTCTCTGTATATTTGACAATCCTTTCACCACTGTGTCCCTCCTTGTTCTCAAATCTAATGTGTCTGTGACACTTGTAAACCTAATGTCTCATGGATTAGCTTCTAATGAATCACTGATCCCTGTATCAGCACTGTGGTGTAAGGTATTGTTACATTAGAAGCTTCCAAAAAAGGAAAAGCCAACACTAAAAATACCTCCAAGGAACAAGCAAAGCATCAGTGTGTCTAAAATTTCTGATCAATGTGTCTAAAATTTCTGAATTATGTTTTTATTCTTCTTCAGTCTTCAGAACAAAAGTTTCTCTAAAATATAACTGGCTGAAATATTTGTAAATAAATTAATCTTGCACTATTTTCTAAGTATCAGTCTTTATTTTTAGATTGAACAGATTATATGTTGCTGTATCAGTATCAGAATTTTTGGCTGAGGTCTTCAAGCAGTTGTAATAGGTCAACAGCTAGGCTGTGATATATTTCACAAGTCTGAGCACCATGAAAACCCCAGGAAGAAAAGTTAAAACTGCTTTACCTTTTTCCCCCCCCTTCATTTTATTATCTTTTGTTCTTTTTTTCCTTTCCTTGCCTGGCTTCATCTCACCTTTCCTCTCCAAGTTAGTTTTCAACATTTTTTTCCTTAATTTTCTTTTTTCTTATTTTTTCTTTTTTCTTTTTTCCTTTTTCTTTTTTTCTTTTTTCTAAGCTTTTTCTTTTATCTTTTTTTTTTTCTTGTCCTTTTTCATCCTTTTTTCTTCTCCTTTCCCTTTGCCTTTCCATTTTTTCCCCCTTCTTTTCATTTTTCCTTTTTCTTTTATTTTCTCATTTTTCAAGAAAACCAGGAAACTACAATTGGGTTAGAAGTTGCATACCATAAACAAAGCAAACAGTAGGGTTGATGAAGGAGATCCTAACGCCCCCAAAGAGCAGCACAGGCACAAATATGGAACACTTAATGAAATAACGCAGAAGTGAGCTCAAAATTTGTTCCCACATTTAACCTCATGTTTTACCTTAGAAGTTCAGAAAGTGAGACCTACGTAATACTTTCTAATTTCCACCATGTGTGATTGCCTACGTGGTGTTGGTTTCTCCTGTCTTTCTCCAGCTGCTGAACTGTGTTTTAAAAAGATAGCTAAAAATACATGAGTACTTTCCTACGCCTTTTTCCGTGTAAGCCCTTGCTGGAATCATCACTGGGATGTTGTGTGGCAGCCCCAGGAGCAGGTGATGCCTGTCAGTGGGAATAGCAGCCTGCATGACCATGTCTGTATGGGAAGGTTTCCGTACCGCGCCTTACCTCTGGCTCTGTTGTTGTAGCATGTTTTCTCTCGGCAGCTTCGCAAGGTGCTTCCTTGTTTGCTTTGGAGATGTGTTAAACCAAAGGCAGCAATTGTGTCAGTAGCTTTTGGTGCCAGAAAATACCAAGACTTTTCTGAAAACATTGCTTCTAGTTTAGGATGCCTCTAGCATCCTAGTCCTGTAATAATTTCAACAATAGAGAAGAGAGAAGAACATATTCTGCATAAGGTAGGACTTTTTCTAGTACTTTGGCTTTTCTTTTTCTTTTAGGAAAAAAATAATCACTGATAAATGTTAAGGGGATTTATAATTTTTCCACTTTACCTTCTATCCAACCTGAGCAGGACCAAGTTGTGTTTCAGAGATCAGTAAGAGAATCTCATTGAAAAAAAAGGACTGAACCTCTAAAGCACCATTTCTGCAGATGTTGGGGTGAGCAGTGCTTTGGCCATCATTTCACTGAATGCACTCAAAAGGCCTGTGCATCATTTTGAGTGGGCAGAGCTGCTCCTGGTTGTCTTCCTTATCTAGGGGCAGGTCGTTGGACCAAACACCACACAGAGACAGGTAGGGATGCCCAGGGATAAGGGAGGCCATGAGATGCAGCACTTTGCACACTCCAGCTCATGGCCATTTCCCCAGAGCCTACCAACAGACCAATCTCACTGATCTCTGACAGCTTTTGCAGGACACTGCTTTCAATTTGTTTCTTGTTTTTTGATGAGGCCTCCATAGTGCTGTTTCCTTCTGCCACTGTCCCTGCAACAGCTAGTCCTTTGGGCTGCCATAGTGTCTACAAGGGTAGTCAGATATTTAACATGAAATTCAGGATCAGGAGACAGGGCCTTCTCTCTTCCACGCCAGTGACACTAAACCAGAAAATCCTACAACTGTATGCTTTTAGCAAATGTCATGGGATGCCACCATGCCCTGCTACTCAGCAGCATCTGGACTCCTAACTGAATAGAAAGGCTGGAGGGCACTGGTGCAGGAGGCAGTGGGCAGGTCTGGGAGAGAGTGCCAGCTCCTGTCCCTTGGCCTTGGCACCTCAGCTCTCCTCTGTCTGTGACACAGGAGTATCTACTGCAGAGGCTTCTCTGGGACAGCGGGATAGGGTTGCACTGCTGCCCATTAGCATATTAGGCTGTTACCACTCTGATGCTGCCTGTGATAAGTGTCCCCAAAGAACCTATAAATAAGTAACTAAGAAGCCTGTCTTATGCATCTTAATTATTTGTAGGCCAAGAGGACAGGAAACTTTTGAAGGTGGCCTTGCCTCCTCCACAGGTCCAAGCAGTCTGTCCTCCAGACACTGAAAACCATCAGCAGCATAAACCAGCTTCCACAACCAGCAGCATATTGAGGCACATCACGGTCATTAAAAAGAGTGGAAACCAGTGTCTCCAGGGGAAGAGAGGGGTGAGGGAGATAAAGCACATCCTCCATTTTGCAGGATCAGGGAGGAGCCCAAGTATCTGCCTTGTCATATGGCATAACTCACAGTGCTATGGGAAGTGAATTCTGCTGGCATGGGGTTCCCCCATGCATGGGGACTACCTGGCTGCATACTCCCAATGGGATTAGAATTGACTGTCTGTAGTTGATACAGAGGTGACTATATTTCATTGATAGCTGACATAGTGTAAGAGCAGCAGGATGCAACTTGAGAAAAGATAGTAAGGAAAAATTAGGGATGACGATTTAGCCTTTTGAGAATGGTGGTCATGCTCCCAAACATGAGAAGTCTCTAACTTAGGCCTCCTTCCCTGAGGGAAAAACCATGGTGTTTCCCAAACCCTAGGTTAAAGCAGACTCACCACTACCTCAATTTTCTATGGTGGTCTCAGAATTCAGTGTCATTGTACCACTGCCCTGGCACAGAATGCATTTCAGATTTACATGGTCACAATGGTCATTTGCAGGTGACGTCTTCTTGGAAGAACTGCAGATGCCCTAAATAGGTGCCATAGCTGTTTGTTCATTTTCTGCTGCTGCCTGGTGAATATGGATCAAACACTCAACCCATGCAACAGGTCTTGGTACTGAAGGCAATGCAGAATGCAGTATTCCCACAAATGCTACATTTCAGATGGCATCCTATAATAACATTCTAACATGGAAAAGGAAATCCTTGAATAGAGCTCACTCGTAGTATATTTTAACGAAGTTGTTTGAATTTCATAGCTCATATGTGATTAATTACTGTGAATATTCCTAGCAGAGAGGGTCTGATCTCCTTTCCTTCACAATCAAGTTCAGCTATGCTGAAAGCAAGACTGGTCTGTTTTTTGCTGTGGCCATTTATAGCAACCAAAGCAGTCCAGAAAGGAGGGGCAAGCAGGGCATCTGGTTCCACGGCTGTTCTGAGAGATCAGAGATGACCCTGAAGCACATTGGTGGATGGCCTCACATGTTTTTCTGAATACACCAGACACTAGTTAGGGAGGAGAGGGATGGTAAGCTTGCAGTTAAAATATCAGCCGACTTGCAAGGAGAGGGAATGAACCTGGATATTTTTAGCCAATCATACTCTGAATTTTGGTTCTTTCTTTATTCTGAAAATTCCCATGGTTGGGACGAATGGGCTTCTTGGTGTAACATAGAAGCTTTGCCTCTTTGGCTGTGGTCAATGTGGTAAGAGAAAGGGATGATACCACCTGTGCTATGCTGAAATGTGCTTATTCCCTGTCAAAACCTACAAGGTATTGTTTGTCACATTAGACATGGGCCAGTTGTCAGGCTTTTTTCTTTTATTGGCCTTTAAAAATACCTACAAAGTCATTATAAATAGACTTTCTTCCATTCAAGATGGCAAATGCAGCTGAGGGATGTAATTTTCAATATGTGCACTTGAAATGCAGCCAAGTGGAATCCAAATATCACAACCCAACTGGCCAAGGACCAGCCCTTCACTTTGCAAACAGCCTCCATAATATTGCAGCGGGGGGCTGGGTCCGGTTTCCTTCAGACACCATGGTGTGCCAGTTGCTGGGGCACAGCTGGGCCTTCCCCAACTTTCTGAGCTTGACACTCCCTAACGGATGACCCTCTTTGCAGCCTTTCTTAATTTCCTACATGTGGACTTAATTTAAAGAATTTTTTTATTCCACTTCTGGTCATAAAAATTAATTCCCTGGGTGTATGCAGGCTGCATTCTGTGCATGAAGCTATTTCACTGCACAGTGAAGTAACCTTCCAGATTTTCATGGTGTCAGAAAGCTGACACCTCTTGATTTCTCCCTCCTAGACCTATCTATTGTTATTGACTTCAAGCTCCAGCTTTTGTGCTGAGTTCAGT